TGGAATCACGATAGAGATTCCTTTATGCTAATGTTTATATAATAATGCGACTCAGAGACGCTTTGGATGTCTCTAGTTCGTTAATACACTATACTAATAATAACAAATACAATAATAATGGTTGGACACAACAGTCCATTAAGTCACGGATTTCATTTCGTTAACTGCTATTCTCCATTTTTTAAGCCATTCTTGTAGCTTATCTAAATTTTCCTGTAGATATTCAGATGCTACTGCTGGATTCTCATCTGATGCCCAGATTGCTGTACAGCAAACATAAATTATATTTGCAATGTATAGTCCGCTATAAACAAAGATCAAATATGGTTAATATATTCAAATATGGTTAATATATTCAAAAATGCACATAATGTGTTTACACAAAATGAAAATGTTGTATCAGGCGCACAACCCGGAACTTCTCTTTTCATCGTCACTCGTTAAGCGAAACGTCGCTCGTTAAGCGTGTCATTTTTATTACAATTTATTTTGTTCTTTAAGCGATGTTTCACTGTACAATAAACACATGAATAGAATTACCGATTCCTTCAAAAAATAACTATTTATATCAGAACATGAACGACTCACTTAAACTCTATAACATGTGTTACAATATATAAAACACAGTTATATTAAGATATACAAGAGGTAAGATCCTTTAATCCACTACCAATTATCTACATCTTTTGTAGTTATAATTGAATGACTTAATACAATTAATAAAATAATTAATAATACATAAAATAAATAAAACATCACGAAAGCAATAACTATTTTAGAATAATAATAATAAAACAAAGAGCCTATGCTCTTTGTAGTAGCAGATCAATTTGATTTTTTGAATTTTCTTGTTATATTATGTTACTTTTTTTGTAGTATGTAATATGATTTGTTATAATAAATTGTATTATTAATTAATTAATTAATTAAATAAAAGATCAATTTATTTATTTTGTAAACCATAAGGAAACTCAATATACTTATTTTGTATCGATTATTTAATTTTGATTGAATAAATATTGACAAGTTTTCACATAAATATGTAACAGATTTAGATTTCCGATTTAGAAGAGATCAATCGTATATCAAGTATATTTGTCGATTTTTTTAAGGGAAATAACGGCAATAACCTTATAAACTTCTATTTTATATGACCTCTAGACTCAAATATATAAATAGGTTGAATATTGATTCCATTCCTACAAACACTTTCCTGTTTCAATTTATAGTTAATTAGGTAATGTTTATTAAATATTTATAATGAGATTCTATTTTTTTTTTGTTTGAATAAAAGAAACGTATTTTCATGTAAAATTTTAATACTAATTACTTGCCTCGTCAACAAACACACCAGACTTGATAATTACGGTGTTGAGTCCAGATATCATGATTTTTTTTTGTTAAAATATGTATTTGTATTAAACACTATTAGAAAAAAAAATCATTTGCATAGATTCTATTGCACAGTTTTGTCCAAATCATACATATTTTATTCTCGAACGAACGTTAATATTTCATTGAAATTACATGGAATTTCAATCAATTATTAATGTTCGTTAATAATATCTGCTCAAGTATCCAGCCAACGTAGTTGAAAACGGACAGTAAAATGAACAGTTTTATCAAAGCATGTACAGTATTCGCTCTGTGTCCATATGAGTTCAATCGCAAAAAACGCATCGTTCTGTCTAAGAAAAAGTCCATTTACTCGGCAGTCCTACTGATAATTAACTTCTGCTTCATTATTTTCCAAGCCCATTTCACTGTTGGAAATAACGATTTCCGAGAATGGGTCTACTATACACGTCAAATAGTATACAGAATAGTGTGTTTCCTCCATCAGGCGATTTACTTGAAACATTCCAAAGATGTTTTGAAAATATACAAAGAACTAATGAAAATATCAACGGTCATTAATCTGATTGTTGAATGCAAACCATTGATTATATTCGAATTTGCTCTATACATTTGCACTATACCATTGATGTACCTTCTGACATTTTGGGGACTATACTTACATATTGTAACAAATAATCCTTATATAGTAAGGGATAATATAGGTCACCTATTGAATTTTATATTCACTTCACAAGTTTACCTCAACGAACTAATTTTTGTTAATCTTATGATATTATTAGCTGCATGCTTCAATCAGATTAATAACTCATTATTATGCAAGCCTATTGCAAAAACTGTAGTTTTGGATAAGTTTATGATGTTATCGAATAGGCTAAGAGATATTGGAACTGAAATAAGCGAGTTGTATTCGAAGCAGTTACTACTTTCCATGTTCGTTATTTTCTTTGAAATGACTTTTAGCATATATTTCGTAACTATTACGATCTTTGAATTCAACACCAACAGCGAAGGTGTTAAACTATATACTTTGTATTTGATTCCATGGGCATTGCTGATGGTTGTCAAATTATTCCTAATTACTTCTGTTTGTAAATTAGTATATATTCAGGTAAGTTTTAAAATTTACATATTACATTGCCAATATATTGAATATATTAACTAATAACAATGAAATAAGTATTGTATTATCATAGATATTGTATTTACTTATTATCGCGATGCATCTTATGACTAATTCTTTATATGATTGATAATATGATTTTTATACAATTTTAACTCTTGATAGTTCTGACCGACATGTATTGCCAATTATTCAAGTTCTACTTACTTCAGTAGTTTTCAAGTATTCGTACAAATTTTCTTATTAATAATTAACAAACAAAATACAATTAATTAATCATATATACTTGATTAACGAATAAAATGCATTATAGAAAATTACTTCGTTAAGCTAAACTTTGTTAAAAATACTATGGTCAGAATATGTACCTTCACAGAGAAACAAAAAACAGTTTTATTAAATAAACACTTAACTTACGTTCAAAGTGAAATAACATTTTATTAGTCTAAAGTTAATTGTTTCTGATTTTTTCTTTTTTATTTAACACATACGTTTTCAGTGTAATTTATTTATATTATTTAACCTTTTATTGTTAACATTATTTGGCAGGAACTTCTTTAACTCATATTTATAGTCTTTGTCTTTGGTGATAACAAGGATTTACTTAATCTCCCAATAAAAACAAAACATTCTATGAATATCTAACATCATTTTTATTGAAATTTTAGAAACCTGTCGATTGAGATATTTTGATATCATTTTATTCTTCTAGTACAACTTTTGGACATATTTTTATAGTTGTTGTACATACTCCGTTATCAACTGTAGTTTTTTTTTTCTCGTAGAATAAATATTATGCGGGATAAAAATACTTTCAATAATAATATTTGCTGCAACAATAAAAAACTCAATACAATAATAAAAAAAAAGAAAATTCAACATTTAACTGTAACTTTTATTTAGAATGTATATAATTATAAAATATTACAGTGATAATAAATTAAATGTTGATCCTTTTAGGATAATTATTCAACGACGTGTGTTCTAAAATTTCTTCAAAAACCTTGTAATTATAACGAGGTTTGTTACAAAATGGTTAGTCAAAAATATTAAACTAATGTTCTGTATTTATTATTTTATTTTCTTTTTAGGTTCAAACTTATACGCTACAAAGTGAACTATCTCCTATAGTATTTACTGCAAATAACTTTTTCACACTAAATACTGAATTTGCCATTGAGGTATATCTTTTACATTATTAAATATCCCTAATTCCAACGTATTAATTATTTAATTTTAGATGATTGGATCAGTTTTGACCTATTTACTGATATTGATTAATTTCAATTACGTGCATTGATCATAAAACGCTATTTACAATAGTAGTGCTCTTCATTTTCCTGGCAATACGAAAAAGTCACATTATAATGCCTCTCGTCCCATCTATATCGGCACCGTTTAGTTACAAGTACTGTTTGAGTGATTGGTCCTCTACCACAGCACAATGTTGCGCAATTTGCGGCATCCTTGCAGCGCCTCCCAACGGTAGTGTCACAAAACAGTGGACCATAAGACAAATACAACAATTCGTTGGGAGAGTTGACTATCTTTCGAGTGGAGTTCACCTGGTTGCCTATATCAACATATGTTGCGTTGCTGTATTTCTGCTTCAGCCTCTGAGCGATGTTCGAAAAATCGCGTACTTCCTTCCAGCAAGTCTTCAGAACGCAAGAACCTGAAACATGTAAAATATAAAACAAAATTAAAACTTGATGAAGATTTACCGGAAACTCCATGGCAAACGCAAATTTTCTTTTCGCTTTCTTTAACAGCATTGAAACCGACGTTAGTGTTATGGTTCAACACATCTGAAGCTCTGTCTTCGTACTGCAGATTAAGAAACCTTTTGGCTATTTTCCTGGCTTTTTTGGTGTTATCCCCGCAGCCACCCCATTGCCAATTGTCTTTCCTTTGGTGTCTAGCTTGTTCAGCGCAGTAGCATTTCTGCAAAACACCTTCGCTGCATGCTTGAGCTGTGGTGAACATCACAGCTGAAGCGGATAAAGCATACATGAATGCAGTCTCCCTGAAAACTCTTTGAAACATCGATTTCTTATACGAGCAATTCCAACGGTCGTATCTACGCAAAAAATGGAATCATTAAGAACCCGACGCATCCACCAGAATATAATCATACCTAAATTGCTCCTCGCAATGATCTACAGCCAATTTCCTCGCCTTTTGCAGGACTTTGGAGAAACCTCTCCTATTTTGGCATTGTTTATTTTGTTTACTGTAACCTTTCAACCAACGACACGCCATGACTTTATTATTATGTTGGTAATTAGAAATTGATTTATTGGAGAACATCAAAGAAACGATCGTCTTCCTCATAATCTTGTGGCCCAACAACGTGTTCGATTTACCTGTCCTGTAATGAAAACGTTAAAGCAAATCTTTAGTGATGACACATTTTTTTTGTTGGTAAAAGCTAAGCCAACAAGAGGATGTCATTTAAAAATAACATATTTATTTAACAATTTAGTACGAATGAGTAAAGCCAACATATTAATATCATTTGTCGTTGAGAGACAAAGCACACACATGCACACTCGAGCGTACGAATGGAATGAGCGGAAATGCGTTTGGTAATTAAAAGAGGTGAACCAGCAAAGGTGCTTCGGATTGCTTCGATCTTCTGGGTTTCAAAGGTACATGTGTTAATTATTAAAAGTATTTATTGGGGGGCTATAAAGCAGGCCACCACCGATAAATATTTGTACGTGTAAACAGAAGAAGAAAAAAAAAGCAGACGCAACGTCCATACGAGGGTGTTAAATTCGTTATTGACTCTCTAATTAGTACCGTTGAAGCTTTATAAAATGTTAATATTTTTTTAAGTCTTTTCATTAGACGGCTGTATTTGCATTTCAGAACAATGGAAACACAAAAGCTGTTATTTAAGAATTAGATAAAAATCGAATTACAAATTACGATTATTAGCAAATGAATGCCTCGCATATTGCGGCTTCGATCAGTGCGTATTTACTATATTCCGGTTAAAAATTTAAAAAACAAATAAAATTTTAATTGAGGAAAATAAATGTTAACCGAAATAAATTTGTATTAATAAATTATCGTTTTCTTCCTCTATAGACAAAAGTCCCTTTTTGTACCATATATATTTGTATGTAATTAGTTCCTCCGGTTTCAAAGAGTCCAGAATATTGACGAAACCGACTTCCCGCATTAAGCGCAGTATTTCTATACAGTAGAACCTCGCTTAACGAGCATTTCGCTTAATGAGCAAAATGTATTGTAAGAAAAATGACTCGCTTAACAAGCGACGTTTCGCATAACGAGTGACTATGTAAAGAGAAGTCTCGAATTGCGCGCCTGCTACAACATTTTTAAAACTTGTGTACACATATTATGTGTATTTTTGAATATATTTCACTATACGAGTAAAAATCCGGAAATTTTGGAACGCATTAAACTCATTAAACGAGGTTCCACTGTAAATATTATTATGACATCATTATTAGCTATAAAAAAAATCAGTTGTTCCTTAATATGTAACAAATCTTAAAAAATATTAAATTGTAAGCACAGTTATTATAACTATATCAATTTAAAACGTTTTATAAACAATATGTTTAGCTTTTATTATATATAAAATATAAATAATAACAATTAGAACTAAACTAATGTTGATTTGGTCTCTTTTTTTTATAATTATTTATAATTTAACTAATAAATTAACTATAATTAATTAGTTATAGTTAATTCAGTAATTAAGGAACCGCAACAAATTGCTAATATTTTTTAATAAAATTAGAACTTTAGATTAAAATACTAAGAAAGGACTATTGAGTTACCAAGTTATTATACAAATATTTAAGTAAAAGTCTGAGTTTAATCACCAATATTAAAAAGTTAATATGTACAGAAACTGTAATTTCCGTTTCAATTTAAATTATTCAAAATTAAATTATTTTAATTATTATGGCAATTTATTCTTTTGAATATATTAAGAATATTAAGTACAATCGATAGACCTTTGATCCAAAATTAAACATTTATTTAAAAAACAATATAAATTATATAATTATACATTTTTAAATTAAAATTATTGAATATCTACTTATAAATCATCATCAATATTTTTATATTTTGTCCTACAAATTAAATTAATTATTCTAAAAAAATATGTTGTTTTGCTCATTAAAATGCATAATTACATCGCATATAACGTACCCGTAATGTTATATAAGAAATTAATATCTCGTACTATTTTAAACCGGACTAATCGGGTCTTGGCTCTATAAATTGTTTTACGTTCATACAGTCACCAATCATATATATTCTTAATTAAAATTTAGTTTGTTTCGAAAAATTCAAACCGAACATAAGTGAATCCGGACTAATCGAAGCCGCACTATAGCTCGGTGTATTAAATTTAACTGGAAAATTTAATAAACATACAATAAATGGTTTTCTGTATAATATCTGATTCATGATTCTACTTCTGATTCATGACTCCGTAAATTTGACTTGTGAGTTTTACAATTTTTCAGTTGAAATTCTCTTTAGTGTCTGAAATCAAATCGTCACAGTAATGATGTATTTGCAATGTAATATAGAAATAAGAAAAACCTTTAATCACAATACTTTGGTAATTTAAAATGAATTGCGTGAAGCCAAATTTGTGGAAATGTATTTTTTTTTTCGAAAAACACAACCGAAGTAGAAAGAAGAAGCAGACGGCACCTGAAAACACATTTACACCAGACCTCAATAAAGTGATTATATAACAACAAAAATGTCGAAAAAAGGGAAATAATTATGCGATCATGTTTATTGTAGCCAAACTACACGCCTTAATCTGGCAAATGAAATTCGTACAATGGAGGAAGAAGGTTTTATTGCAACTGTAAAACGGAATTTCACCGAGAATTTCACAAACCAGGTAACATCCTACACTTTTTTCCCTCGGTCTTCTTATTCTTCTTCCCGGCAGACAAAGTATTCCGTTAAAATCGATGCCAACATTGCAACAAGTGTTTTCCATGCACTTTAAAGCACGAAATATGAAAATCATTCTTTCCACATGATCTTATAGAAAGTTCTTTCAATGTAATTACATTTGTGCATAAGAAAGATCAGAAAGATTACTTCTTGTGCAATATATTTTTATATGTAATTAGTTCGTACGGTTTCAAAAAATCCAGGATATTGACGGAACCGAAATCATTCAATGCATTTTAAAGAACTAAATATGATGATAATCTTATAGAAAGTTGTTTTAATGAAATTATATTTGTGACACTAAGAAAAATCATTAGAAAATTGAATTAAAATTATAAATATAAAATCAATCTAGTAAATTTCAAAATCGAAAATATTTTTAATTATTAATGTTATTTATTTTACAAATAATATAATTTTACATTGAAACTAATTTTGTTAAATATTGAAATATTAATTTTAATATTACATTATTAAAAATAAATATTTATTCATTAGATTTAGATTTTATTTTAATTCATAAAAAAATGTTTCTTAATGTTTACTTTTCCGAATTTAAAGATTTCTTGAGATGATTTAAATAATAATGTTATTTTTTCTTGAATTTCGAGAAATTTATTTTTCCTATTTTATCAAAAATTCATTCTTTAAATTAATAACAATTGATTTGAGTCAAGAATTTAAAATATTTAATATAAAAATAATTATAATTTGATTGATATTACTTACGGTAATGTATCGCAGTTAAACAAGAGCACAAGAAAAACAATTATATAAATCATATTTAGCGGCGATGGACATGGTATAAATTATGGTCGCAACGCTTTTGAACTATTGAAAAAGCTTTACGTGTGCGCACGAGAATATGCCATCACTAACGAGGATCTCCACAAATATTTAATATTTACATTACATACAAAACACACCCCGGATCTTTTTTTTACATGCCGAAGGAGAGAGAAAAAAATCAACACGCACACACTCATGAGCCATTAAAACAAGAGTCTGGTGTACGTGGACTTTCCATTCTAATCTTACGTGGAAAAGCGTTAGAAAAATCGATAAAAATCGATAGCAGCACCTTTCGTGGTATTGGGAAAATTTGTTGTAACAGGCTGCTAAATACATAAACTATTAAATCTTCATTGAATTGCTAATATTAGCGTTATACATTTCGTATTGTAAATAATTGCACGTATTTTTTAATGTTTGTTTTCTTCTCAAACGAATTTATAACAGTCTTAGTAAAAACATTACTTCCTTGAATTTCAATTACGTAACTTATATAATTTAGATCATATTTTTTATTACTTTTGTTTTTCTTGTATATTTTCTTATGTATAAAAATATTGAATAGTATTGAAACGAACTAATAATTTTATTAAATATAAAGAATATGAAAATTATTTAATAAAGTTATTTATTGTTTAAATAAATAATTGATAAGCATTTTTATATAAATATATAAAAACTTCCAATATAACGTATAATGAAATTTACTTTACATAATTTCATATACATAAACATACTTTTATCTACATTTAATTAATATTAACTACATTTATTATGAAATTTAATTATAAAATTTCTCTTTATTCAGAGAAATGTCTGTAAATAATTATTAAGATTTAATATTTATGAATGTAGTAAACATTGATAAATATTACAAAATTACTTTAAGTAATTATTAACGAGAATTGATAAATTTTGATGTTTTGATAGTATAATATAAATTATTGTATTCATGTAATTTTATCAATTTAAGACAAAATCAAATACTTATATAATTACATAGCAATTGAATAACCATTTAATGACTTCTATTTAATTATTTTTTTTTCTATATTTCTGTTTGAAATCGGACTAATGGATGATTTTACAGTCACCTAGAAATAAACAAAGAGAATTGACTGTAAAAAAAGATTTATAAATAAAAAAAAGTGTAGTAATTTTATAGAATTTATGCATAGTCATAACATTATTTATGTTACGACTAAAATGTAAATTTGTCAACTTCATAAACTGACTTGATATTATCTAAATTTTCATTAATTTAATAAATAATATGTTTTTATTACAAATATGCAAATAATTTGTTTAGTTTTGTTTATAAACAACCGAATAACATTATAAAAATACATATCTAGATTAAATTTAATAAATATCCATTGAATTTAGACATAAACGAATTATATATACTAGCATTTCTCAACCTACCTACCTTGTTTCAAAGCAAGGAACTGTTTAAAAACTGTTAGTAATTAGGTCGCTGCACAAAAAGGTTGGGAAACGCT